ATAGGTTGATTTTATAGGCTTTGGAATAAAATAAGTCAAGTCTGTTTGAAATTGGACTCCGGGACAAGTTTATGCGGTAGTTTTTTAAATCAGCCAAAAAAATTTATTTAGACTGATTTAAGAAGTTGATTTTATGAAATTTTATTTTGATTTTTTTGGTGTTTTTGTCGCGGGTCCCACATAAATATTTAGTTTACTATATCTATAAAATATTATTAATGATGTAAAAAAATTGAAATATATATTTTAGAAACTATTATGCATAAACTATACATGTATGTAATTATTTTTTATTTTCACATAAAAAATCAAAAAAGTTAGAAAGTTACTAAAAATAGACTTTTTTAACTTTTTTAAAAAAAACTTAAACGGTTTTGGGTTTTATTTTATTTTTGAAAGATAAGCAAAACAGAAAAATGATATACACACTCAAACCAAAAGTTTTCTCGTAGGATTACTTTGTAAAACCTCACATTCAACTTACAAAGTGCATGTTTTATATGCACAAGGAAATACAAATATTTATGTTAGAAAGAGACATCCAACTTCTACGTCTTCTCTCACCACACAAATAATTAGTGGTTGTTTGGTAGATGTATTATGAGGAGATTAAATAATAAATTATACTATTTTTTATTTAATCTAATACTTTGTTTAGTTAGTAAATTTGATACCGTATTAATTTTAAAAATATATACTAATCGTATATTTATCGTATATTTTTTATACGATAGACTTGTATTATGGAAGTACTAGTTATTCCCCGTACCTGAAGGCACAGAGCAACAAAAAAAATGTCAACAATAAACATATTTGTATGCACATCTAAAATCAAATCACAAATATAAATGAGAGATAAAGAAATGTAAGTACCAATTGTAATGGGGGTGAACGGTATTAGTGGTGGTGGGCGACAGTGGTGATGGTGGAAAATGATGATAGTTGTAATGGGTAACGACAACCGTAGTGGTGGTGGCAGTCGTGGGTGACAACGGTGATGGTGGTGGGTGGGGTTTAAGTGATGATGATGGTAGTGGCAGCCGTGGTTGATGGTGGTTGACGGCGGTGGTGGTGGACGACGGTGATGGTGGTTAGTAATGGTTGTGATGGGACAACGACAGTGGTTGACGACGACGATGGTGGTGGACGACGGTGCTGGTGGTTAGCGTTGGTTATGGTGGGACAACGACAATGGTGGTGGTCAGTGACAATGGTGGTGGTGGGCAACAATGGGTGCTTTTAGGCGACAGTGTGATGAGTGGCGGCAAATAGTGGCGATAGTAAGTGTGGTGGGGGTAGGTGACAGTGGGTGGCTGCAGTGGTAGACGATGACAAGTGGTGGTGGTGGTAGGTGTGGTGGGGGTGGGTGACAGTGGCTGATCGCGATGGTGGGAAATGGCGAGTGGTGATGGGTGACGGTGGGCGACGGTGGGCAACAATGGTAATGGTGGGTGCTGACGGTANTGGTGGACGACGGTGCTGGTGGTTAGCGTTGGTTATGGTGGGACAACGACAATGGTGGTGGTCAGTGACAATGGTGGTGGTGGGCGATAATGGGTGCTTTTAGGCGACAGTGTGATGGGTGGCGGCAAATAGTGGCGATAGTAAGTGTGGTGGGGGTAGGTGACAGTGGGTGGCTGCAGTGGTAGACGATGACAAGTGGTGGTGGTGGTAGGTGTGGTGGGGGTGGGTGACAGTGGCTGATCGCGATGGTGGGAAATGGCGAGTGGTGATGGGTGACGGTGGGCGACGGTGGGCAACAATGGTAATGGTGGGTGCTGACGGTAGCAGTGAGATGATGGTGGTAATAATAATAAATATAAGAATAAGATGATGATGGTGGTGGGTGGTAGCAGTGGCAGTGAACGACGATGCAAGCAATCAATGGTGGGTGATGATGGTGGTGGTGGTAGTGATGGTGTGATGGGGCAATGAGGGTGGTAGAGATAATGGTGGTACAGTGACGATGGTGGTAGTGGTGATGGTGGTGGTGTTGGTGGGGCGGTGGGTGTGGTAAGGTGGCAATAGNGAGTGGCGGCAAATAGTGGCGATAGTAAGTGTGGTGGGGGTAGGTGACAGTGGGTGGCTGCAGTGGTAGACGATGACAAGTGGTGGTGGTAGTAGGTGTGGTGGGAGTGGGTGACAGTGGCTGATCGCGATGGTGGGCAATGGCGAGTGATGGTGGGTGACGGTGGGCAACAATGGTAGTGGTGGGTGCTGACGGTAGCAGTGAGATGATGGTGGTAATAATAATAAATATAAGAATAAGATGATGATGGTGATGGGTGGTAGCAGTGACAGTGAACGACGATGCAAGCAATCAATGGTGGGTGATGATGGTGGTGGTGGTAATAGTTGTGATGGGGCAATGAGGGTGGTAGAGATAATGGTGGTACAGTGACGATGGTGGTAAGGTGTGATAACAGTAGTTATGATGGTAGGGTGCGGTGATGGTTATAGGGATGTTGGGGGTAGGGCGGCGGTGGTAGTGGTAGTGATGGTGGTGGTGTTGGAGGGGCGGAGGTGGTAGTGGTAGTGATGGTAGTGGGACGGTGGTGGTAGTGGTGATGGTGGCGGTGTTGGTGGGGCGGTGGGTGTGATAAGGTGGCAATAGTGGTGGTGGCGGCAGCGGTGGGGTGGGGTGGGCATGGTGGTGGTAGAGGTCGTGGGAGGACGATTCCAAACACTATTTTTTTTAAAGTACTTATAAGAAATAATTTCTAAAAATACTTTTAAAAAGTCACTCCAAACATATTCTTTTANTAGCAGTGAGATGATGGTGGTAATAATAATAAATATAAGAATAAGATGATGATGGTGATGGGTGGTAGCAGTGACAGTGAACGACGATGCAAGCAATCAATGGTGGGTGATGATGGTGGTGGTGGTAATAGTTGTGATGGGGCAATGAGGGTGGTAGAGATAATGGTGGTACAGTGACGATGGTGGTAAGGTGTGATAACAGTAGTTATGATGGTAGGGTGCGGTGATGGTTATAGGGATGTTGGGGGTAGGGCGGCGGTGGTAGTGGTAGTGATGGTGGTGGTGTTGGAGGGGCGGAGGTGGTAGTGGTAGTGATGGTAGTGGGACGGTGGTGGTAGTGGTGATGGTGGCGGTGTTGGTGGGGCGGTGGGTGTGATAAGGTGGCAATAGTGGTGGTGGCGGCAGCGGTGGGGTGGGGTGGGCATGGTGGTGGTAGAGGTCGTGGTAGGACGATTCCAAACACTATTTTTTTTAAAGTACTTATAAGAAATAATTTCTAAAAACACTTTAAAAAAGTCACTCCAAACATATTCTTTTGAACATATTTTTTCTATTAAATTTGAGGTTTTAATNAGTGGTTAGCAATGGTTGTGATGGGACAACGACAGTGGTTGACGACGACGATGGTGGTGGACGACGGTGCTGGTGGTTAGCGTTGGTTATGGTGGGACAACGACAATGGTGGTGGTCAGTGACAATGGTGGTGGTGGGCAACAATGGGTGCTTTTAGGCGACAGTGTGATGGGTGGCGGCAAATAGTGGCGATAGTAAGTGTGGTGGGGGTAGGTGACAGTGGGTGGCTGCAGTGGTAGACGATGACAAGTGGTGGTGGTGGTAGGTGTGGTGGGGGTGGGTGACAGTGGCTGATCGCGATGGTGGGAAATGGCGAGTGGTGATGGGTGACGGTGGGCGACGGTGGGCAACAATGGTAATGGTGGGTGCTGACGGTAGCAGTGAGATGATGGTGGTAATAATAATAAATATAAGAATAAGATGATGATGGTGGTGGGTGGTAGCAGTGGCAGTGAACGACGATGCAAGCAATCAATGGTGGGTGATGATGGTGGTGGTGGTAGTGATGGTGTGATGGGGCAATGAGGGTGGTAGAGATAATGGTGGTACAGTGACGATGGTGGTAGTGGTGATGGTGGTGGTGTTGGTGGGGCGGTGGGTGTGGTAAGGTGGCAATAGTGGTGGTGGCGGCAGCGGTGGGGTGGGGTGGGCATGGTGGTGGTAGAGGTCGTGGGAGGACGATTCCAAACACTATTTTTTTTAAAGTACTTATAAGAAATAATTTCTAAAAATACTTTTAAAAAGTCACTCCAAACATATTCTTTTAAACATATTTTTTCTATTAAATTTGAGGTTTTAATATTAGCCGTCAGATTAACTTTAAAGAAAAATTTAAAGAGATCTCAACCATGAATAGTAAAAATCTTTTTGATTATCTTTTGAGATTTAAATTGTATTGTACTTTATTATATAGATTTTAATATCACCAAGAGAGGTGATATTATAATCCAACTTAAACATATTATTCTATATATTTATTATTATAACCTTTAAACTGATAAAATTAAGCTGTCATCAATGTAACAAACACTGATTGATGGTATTTTTGTTAATTTAACATTAATACAATGAAATAAAATTCTCTAACCAAACAACTGATTTGATTAAATAATTACTATCTAATGTTTATGTTTTGTATTGCTAAATATTAGATAAAATTATGTATTATTCTAATACTCTATTTAATCTCATCTTTTGTCATTTTTGTATTGTATTAAACTGAATTATTTTATTTAATGAAAGGATTGGGTTGACTAACATTTTTAACTCTGAATTTAATACAAAANGTAACAAACACTGATTGATGGTATTTTTGTTAATTTAACATTAATACAATGAAATAAAATTCTCTAACCAAACAACTGATTTGATTAAATAATTACTATCTAATGTTTATGTTTTGTATTGCTAAATATTAGATAAAATTATGTATTATTCTAATACTCTATTTAATCTCATCTTTTGTCATTTTGTATTGTATTAGACTGAATTATTTTATTTAATGAAAGGATTGGGTTGACTAACATTTTTAACTCTGAATTTAATACAAAATTTTTGAAACTATAACTTTTCACCTAATAAAATCATCTCTAAACAGACCATCATATTGAATTTTGGTTTAAACATTTTTTTCATTTCTCAAAGTCTCTCTTCTGATTCAAAAGATGGTGAAATGGACATGCAGGTACATTGATCAATTGTCCAGATGTTTATACATGGAATACAAGAACTTGGGGATAGATGTTCAGTGCCAGGTATTAANTTATTTAATGAAAGGATTGGGTTGACTAACATTTTTAACTCTGAATTTAATACAAAATTTTTGAAACTATAACTTTTCACCTAATAAAATCATCTCTAAACAGACCATCATATTGAATTTTGGTTTAAACATTTTTTTCATTTCTCAAAGTCTCTCTTCTGATTCAAAAGATGGTGAAATGGACATGCAGGTACATTGATCAATTGTCCAGTTGTTTATACATGGAATACAAAAACTTGGGGATAGATGTTCAGTGCCAGGTATTAATGTAGTATATACAAATTATATATATATATATAACAAGTAGGTCCTCACTAATTAATTATGAATGATCTGCCTAGAAAAGAATTAGAATATATATATATATATATATATATACACGAAGGGATTTGGATTGGATCCGGTGACATGGTTGGTCTATTGTAGATAGAAAGACTAAAAGCAAGCCCTAGAGAAAGAGTGAGATGGTTGGTTAATTAAAGAAGATACTAGAGTGGTGGGTTTGGAGTTTGGTTTGTGGTGGAAACATGGGCTAAGTTTGGATTCACAATCTACGTTACTTAATCTCGAGAATTATTATTATATATAATAGTCGAACAAAGACGTCCGAGTTTACGATATGCTACAAAAACACTCAACCCACTGAAATTATTTTGTTTATCACATGAATAGCACTTTTTTTTTTTTTGGTTTNAGCCCTAGAGAAAGAGTGAGATGGTTGGTTAATTAAAGAAGATACTAGAGTGGTGGGGTTGGAGTTTGGTTTGTGGTGGAAACATGGGCTAAGTTTGGATTCACAATCTACGTTACTTAATCTCGAGAATTATATATAATTGTCGAACAAAGACGTTCGAGTTTACGATATGCTACAAAAACTCTCAACCCACTGAAATTATTTTCTTTATCACATGATTAGCACTTTTTTTTTTTTTTGGTTCCTCAATTATCTAACGTAGATTGAGGGCCCTGATCAATGTAGGTACCACTATATGTCTCAACCAAAATGACCTCAAAAGTTGCACTGATAGAGAAATCGTCACTGTTCGTGCCATCGGCGGAAAATTACGCTGGAGCTGCAGTGCGGCAGATAGGCTACGAAGCACGGTGCATGCCTTACTGGGGCCACTCAGTGCAGTGGTTCTTCGCCTCCTTGTTGCCTGAAGCTGTTCTTGATGCTTGGCGTCTGTCTATCGGAATCCGCCGGAGGGGAAAAGCTTGTTGAATAATAAACTCTGATTCGGACACCTGATTGATCGAAAATGTTGTGCCTGATGATCTTATCAATGTTTTATGTATTTCTGTTTATCGATATGGTGTAGACAGTTAACACAAAATAAAATTGAAGTTACAACTGATCAACTTGACGAGAGGACGACATAATGGAATTGTTTAGCTCCTACGACTTNGATCGAAAATGTTGTGCCTGATGATCTTATCAATGTTTTATGTATTTCTGTTTATCGATATGGTGTAGACAATTAACACAAAATAAAATTGAAGTTACAACTGATCAACTTGACGAGAGGACGACATAATGGAATTGTTTAGCTCCTACGACTTAATTTGCTGCGTCCAGATGATCGAATTCAGATCTTTTCTAATATATTTTTATCTTCAATTCTCTTATTGACGCATCATTCACGATTAATAAGTGAAGAATCCCTTATATACAATGAACGAGTTTGATTAACAATTATCAAACTAGAATAGATATAAGGTAATCCCGAAAATAATGTCTATCGGTAATATGTTCAACACTTTTTATTTCCGTTAAGGGTCAATCAGTCTTGTTCCTCAGGAGACATGTTTTAAACCCACTCAAATTATAGTATTTGAATTCAAAGGAGTAGTTTACACAAGTTTGAACAACTTATAAACAAAAAAAAAAATTATTTGAAATGAGGAGGGTATCCTTTGAAGTTTTAGAAGGGTGTCATTATAATTTATGGAAGGTATTTTTAGAAACAAGGAGAGTATAATCTAAAGTTTCATTAAATATGAAGGGATTGGAATGGTATTATCTTAGCTATTGCTACTCTCATAATATATTTATTGTGGTTGCACGTTTTTGTTATGTACTTTTTATGGGAGTCGTTTTTACTTTATATGCGGGATTTCATTATTTGGTAGATAAAANTCAACACTTTTTATTTCCGTTAAGGGTCAATCAGTCTTGTTCCTCAGGAGACATGTTCTAAACCCACTCAAATTATAGTATTTGAATTCAAAGGAGTAGTTTACACAAGTTTGAACAACTTATAACAAAAAAAAAAAATTATTTGAAATGAGGAGGGTATCCTTTGAAGTTTTAGAAGGGTGTCATTATAATTTATGGAAGGTATTTTTAGAAACAAGGAGAGTATAATCTAAAGTTTCATTAAATATGAAGGGATTGGAATGGTATTATCTTAGCTATTGCTACTCTCATAATATATTTATTGTGGTTGCACGTTTTTGTTATGTACTTTTTATGGGAGTCGTTTTTACTTTATATGCGGGATTTCATTATTTGGTAGATAAAATTTTCATCGGACATGCTCTAAAATTGTAGGTCAAATATATTTTTGAATCAATTTTTTGGGGTAAATTTGACCTTATTTTCCATGCATGTTTTAGGCCTTTCAAGTATGCCAGGTCGCATTCTAAATCATCTAAATGCTTACGCAAAATAGAATGCCCTTAATCTTATTACTCAATCCACTTATTATTCACAACAGTGGATCCTATTATTTTCAAATTCGTATATTAGATTGATAGGAAGTCCACAGTTCGATAACGCCAGCAATGCATTCCACTTTTTTTCATACTTGGGNTTAGATTGATAGGAAGTCCACAGTTCGATAACGCCAGCAATGCATTCCACTTTTTTTTTCTGGTATGGTATGGTAAAAGTGGTCAAAAGCAAAGCCCACGATGTATAAGGTTTGCTATCGCTTGGTGGGCCTGTAAATTTCATACTTGGGCTGAAAGTAAGCTCAATTTCCAATGGCCCATCGATACTTTTTCTTTTGTTGGGTCAGACGACCAAGTTCGAACCACCGACTGCTAACCTCAACGGCCAATCGGTGTCTGGGAGCGAAAAACATCCATTGTGGCGCTCTACGCACCCCTGCGTAGTAAACCCTCCCTCCCGACAACAGGAAAAGCGCTACAAAACCCTTTAAAGGGTTGGTTCGTGCTCTGATTCTCAGCACGAATTCTGGTTTCTTCGCCGGTGGTCTCTGCTCATCTCACACCTACAAACAATGGCGAAGCGGCTTCGTGAGTCCGAATCCGACGATACAATGCCGGCAGCAGCTGATTACCACACGGTCTTCATCGACACCAATCTCGATACCCACTTTGTTACGATCGTCTCTAATTCTGAGACTGTCTTCGATTTCAAAAGTAATCTTAGTTCCACTCTTTGTTTTTGTTACTTACTTATTGTGATTGTACTTGCACAACTGAATATATGCATGTGTGTCTCTGTTTGCGCGCTCTTGAGTTAATGTTTGAAGGGTCGCATGGGCTTATGCTTTTTATGATTAAGCTCTACAATACATTATTGGCTTTGGAAAGAAAAATGTGATATGATTTAGGATTGATTGAAAACTATATTGAAAAACATGAGAAACAAGCCTTCCAAATGAAATACAACAATTCCATGGAAGCAGAAAGATGAAAACGGGAAATTATCAGCAAAGAGGTATCAAAATAATAATAATAATAATACTGAGATGGCGCTGGTCATAAATCCATGAGATAAGTAAAAGGTATCAAAATTTTCATTACAAAGTATGGGTATATAAAATCAAAGGTCCAGGATGAGAGAGGGGAACTTAACTACGTAATTGCAAAGAACAATGTAATCAGAGCACATATACCTGAATCTACTTGGAGTTGAATGGAGAAAAAAATTCATGCAGACCCCAAAAAAAATTCACATAAAAGGATAGTCCAGGAGGTAAAGATATACAACCTTGCGGCCAACCAGATCAAAAGTCATAACTACTTTATTTTGTCTGGCCAGTTCAACCTCCTCTATCTCCTCTTTTTTCTTCCTTAGAAGTTGCTTCTCCTGTGTGAAAGAGAGAGTGAGAGAGTGATTTAGGTTTGAGTGAAAGAAAAATGTGATATGATTTAGGATTGATTGAAAACTATATTGAAAAACATGAGAAACAAGTCTTCCAAATGAAATACAGCATTTCCATGGAAGCAGAAAGATGAAGACGGGAAATTATCAGCAAAGAGGTATCAAAATAATAATAATAATAATACTGAGATGGCGCTGGTCATAAATCCATGAGATAAGTAAAAGGTATCAAAATTTTCATTACAAAGTATGGGTATATAAAATCAAAGGTCCAGGATGAGAGAGGGGAACTTAACTACGTAATTGCAAAGAACAATGTAATCAGAGCACATATACCTGAATCTACTTGGAGTTGAATGGAGAAAAAAATTCATGCAGACCCCAAAAAAAATTCACATAAAAGGATAGTCCAGGAGGTAAAGATATACAACCTTGCGGCCAACCAGATCAAAAGTCATAACTACTTTATTTTGTCTGGCCAGTTCAACCTCCTCTATCTCCTCTTTTTTCTTCCTTAGAAGTTGCTTCTCCTGTGTGAAAGAGAGAGTGAGAGAGTGATTTAGGTTTGAGTGAAAGAAAAATGTGATATGATTTAGGATTGATTGAAAACTATATAAGTGGTTTGATTCAATGATGTTTTTTGAGCTGAGCTTTCTCGAACAGAAATATAACTGTTGTAAAGGAGGGCATTTTTTGATTTATCGTTTATTTATATACTTTTGATGCAAGTTGATGTCTTAACTTTGTTGTATGATTCTGGTTATTATGTTTTTGATTTTACAATTGGTTTATGAAGCCCAAAATTCCAACAGTAGCTCATTTAGTTTGCTTCTTAGTATGCTTGGAAGGTAAGCGATGGATAGAAATGAACTCTAGTGCATTATGTGCATACATACTTACATGCCAACATATCCACTCAGAAAGTTGTAATGGTTTTTTGGGATGCCAAGATTAATACATGTGTATGTGTACTCACATAACTTCAGTTATAGGTAATAGTAGAAAGATTGAGAGAGAGAGAGAGAGAGAGAAGTTGGCTTTTGGCTTGTGACTGTCTCCTTGGTTAAATAAACCTGGTATGGAAGTCCTATTTGAAGCAAATAGAGCTTGCTTTCTCATAGAAGTACGAGTTGAGCGGTGCTTCAGAAGAAATTGATAGTAGAAAAGATTATACAACAATTGGCGTAAAGTCAATTTGGAGTGTCAAAGTTAAGCACTCATCAACTTTGCATCAATACATTGTTTATTGAATCACTAATAATTTCTAATTTTTTCACTTTTGGCATGCAGAAAAGATAATGCTTGAACACCCCCAGTACTTCCCTAAAATAGGGGAGATAAAAATCCATGATCTAAAGGTACGTTTCTTCAACATGCATTGAAAGGTTATCAAAAAGTTTCCTGTTACTATATCCTTCACATTGACAAGGTGTTGTGATTTTGGCAGGTCAAGCGCAAGAGGCACTTCTATCACCTGTCAGAGTCCATGCTTGTAAGGAGTGCATTTGAAGGGGCTAAGAACAATTGGTTTCTTTTTGCTGATGTTTCTAGTTTAAAGCAGCCCAGTGGAAACGAACATTCTTGTCAAGCTGAAGGTTAGCAACCAACTATCCTTACTCTGCATCACAAATACTACTACTGTTGATAGACACATTGTTCTTGCAAATGATGCTTCCAAAAAAATTGTAGTTGCTCACCAGTCATCATTGCTGCACCCTGTGAGCACCCAATGTGCAAAGTGGGAAGTTTCTATAGCCAACAAGTCTATTCCAGGGGATTCTTGTAGAGAGGCTTCAAAAGATATGGAGATGGAAGCGATTGCTATGAGTGGTGACCATTGCAAAGATTTGTTCTCCAAGGAGAAGAGATCAGATCTTGAAATACAAGAGAAGTATAATATTGTCAGCGAAGGTAATAAACTTCCAGGAATGGCTGCCATGCTCAAGGGTGACAATTCTGTGGATGGGATTAGCAGTGTTCAATGCAATAATTTGCTGGGACAATCTTTGAGAGCTGGAACTGCTTCAAAGAAAAAACAGAAGATTAAGAAGCAGCTCAATGAAGATGTAGTGTTCNAATACAAGAGAAGTATAATATTGTCAGCGAAGGTAATAAACTTCCAGGAATGGCTGCAATGCTCAAGGGTGACAATTCCGTGGATGGGATTAGCAGTGTTCAATGCAATAATTCGCTGGGACAATCTTTGAGAGCTGGAACTGCTTCAAAGAAAAAACAGAAGATTAAGAAGCAGCTCAATGAAGATGTAGTGTTCGAAGATCCTTTCAAAGATGAATATGGGTCTATTCATGCATCCAGTAAGGATATATCAGAACCAAATATTGTTGGGCAAGTTTCAAATGAAGTGAAAATGGGAAACAAAGACATTGGTGATGAACTTTGCAAGACCTCATCTTTGGAGGGTAGTGAGAGGTCAGAATCTGGATTGCATACGAAAAAANAACTTTGCAAGACCTCATCTTTGGAGGGTAGTGAGAGGTCAGAATCTGGATTGCATAGGAAAGACAGTCTACAAGAGAGGGCAGCTGAAGTCTCCAGGATACAAAATGGGTGCCATAATGAAACATCTAAGAGTAGGGTTGGTGATGTGCAAGGCAATAACACATTTGAAGAAGCTTCGCAACCTAAGTTTTCTGCAAAGAAAAAGCATAAGATAAAAAGTAAAGAAGCCTGTGGAGACCCTTTGGGAAAAGAAGAAGCCTTAATTTCGAATTCTAGTAAAGAGATATCTAAGCCAGAGATTATAATTCCCAATAATTCTAGTGGGGATGACAGGAAAATGATAAACGCTACTTCAGACAGTGTAGTTACTAAACCTTCAGATGGTGACCATTTGGAAACCAGTCCACGCAGGAAGAAGAGGACGAGGAAAGGAAGAAAGGATTTATCAATTCCCCATAATCAAGTCACTGATGTTGTCCATCCTTCTGCACAAGCAGTTGGGGAAGAGAAGAGCTTTGAGGAAAATGTAGAAATCAATTCAGCTAAGTTATCTGATGCCACGACTGTTCCTGCAGAAAGAATCCAGAAGGAGAGACTTTCTCAACCTTCTGGAATCTCTCAGAAGAAAAAACAGAGTGAACCTGTTGACGAAGAGATTGAAGGGAACAAAGAACACCATATATTGCCCGGTGAGCCCACTGTATATGCCATGCCGGCAATTTTTTGCTTTTTCTTTCTAAATATCTTTGTTATGTCCACAGGTCTCGAAAAAAGGAGAAGAGCTCCGTTGTTACTGACTTTAATTCTAATCTTTTGCAGGTACGGAAATATGTGAACCTGATGCTAGCAATGTAGAAGGCAAAAGTGATGCAAATGAACAAGTTGCTGGATTAGGAGTGAAAGGAACAAATCCAATGAAGCACCGTGACAATGATGCGAAAGAATTTCTTCCACTTGTCGTCGAAGAGGCTCATAACACAAACAAAGGCATTAATCACTCTGCACAGAAAACTTGTGTCCCTGATGTACAAAAGTTTGAAATCGGTCAGACCGAAAAAATTGAGGAGGACAGGGAGTTGTCACAGAACCATGTTCCTGAAGCAATGGTGTCTAAAAGGTGCCAACCTTTGCATCAGGATGAATCTGATCTGAATATTAAACAACCAGTGCTTTCAGCTAAGTTGTCCAATGCCAATGGGATCATGGGATCAGGAAATTCTGGTGGCAAGGGGAGGATAAAAAAGAGGGCCAAGAAGTCTGCTGGAAGGAATCAGAATCCATCAGGCATGGAGAGTGCAGATAATACTGCAGTTGAAAATTCTTCAGTTGCGCATTGTTCAGCTTTTGATGATCATTTGAGCAATGAAAATAAAAAAGACGAGAGCACCTTGTCTCACAATGAAAGAAACGAAGCCGCAATACAAGAGTCAGTGGATACTTCTCCAGTAAATGCTAATTGGGAAGGTAATAATGTGAGAAAAAATGACGCAGAACTTCCACCATTAACTCAGGTGGACAGAACTCGAGAAAATGGAGTACATATGGGTGAGAAATCAATGAAGAAAGTGAAAAAGAGTCAAAGCTCAACCATGAAGAGCCTACCAGATCTGCCAATTGAAGAACTACAAAATGAGGAGGAAAGTTTGCAGTTGAATCAAACTGGAAAAACTCAACAGATGTCAGAAAATGTGGGTAGGAGATCGGAAAAGAAAATGAAAAAGGAGCAGAATTCTGCTGCAAAGACCCATTCATATTTGCCAATCAAAAAGCAAGAAGGTGGTGTTGGAGAACCAGCTGCTTCAAATGATAAAAGGGGAAAGGTTGACACTCCATCTGAAACAGCAAAGAAAACTAGATCAGCAAACGCAAGTCCTAAGAATCCACCGACTGTTTCAGAGTTGGAACACGCCACTAGCATTGAGTCTGGTTCTTTAGATCCTGAACGACCTTCTGGGGATGTTGACATAATCCATGTTTCGTCTTCACATGCACTTGAAGGTAATTATAAGGAGAGGCCTGAAGCTAAGGTCGATTCTGATAATCAGATGGAAATTTTGAAGTGTGAAACAGATAGGATCAACTTCCAGCATTACTTTGTGCCTGGCCAACAGCTGAACGAAGTTGGTCCAGCTGACATGGTCAAAGAAGCAACACGATCAGAAAGGGACATCAAAACTNGCCAGCCAGTCGATGTTGTTCCAGACAGTCAAGGAATCATCCTCTGATCAAATATAGATTTGTCTTGCTTGGGTAGTGATGTATTATCCTCCTTCCCTTGAGAAATTCTCTCTTTTGACCTCAGGCCTTTTGAATTGCTTTTGGGCATGTTTGGTATGTAGGCTTAGAAGAGATTTAAAGGATGGGTTTTGTAAAAATAGTTTAATGCACGTTTTAAACTGATGTTTCGTTCAAAATTTGAGGCTGGTAAAAGAATTCTGGCCCGCTATCGGCCCATAATAAATAGTTGATTAAAACCCACAAATGGGGGTTTGATGAAATCCATGGCGGGGTGAGTTTCAAATGTGAGATTGGATTTGTTGACAAAAAGATTATTTTATTTAAAAATTTATTATTTTATTCACCCAATAATAGATATTTTAATAAATTGAGGAATATGATTTGACATGAATTAATGAGTTTTACATGTATTTATGTCTCTTACTAAATATGAGATTGGTAGGGTTTTTTATCAAATCCCATGTGCATCCGTGGGACTAGGGCTGGGGCTAGGTTTGGAAAGGTTTTATAAATTCAATCAAAACCTCCTCAAAAAATAAACATCCAAACAGGCCCCAACGAGGTTTTGAATTAAGGCACTTTGCCAGTTTTATATGCTTATAATTTTGGTTTCTTGTACAAGAACAAAAAACAATGAAGGGACACTAGTCAATGTAACCCCTGCTAGTTATTGGATTGATAATTGAGTTGAATTATTCGGGTTTAGGTTGGATAGGATTTAATTGAGCTGAGTTAAAGGAGTTGAGGTTAAATAATTTTTTAAGCTCGTTTTCTTTAATTTTATAAAATTCGGCTCGTTTATATATAAAATAGCTGAGTTATTTGGATTTGGGCCGTTTTGGGTTTGAATTCGGTTAATTTTCTAAATTAGCTGAGCTTTAATAAATTTTTAAGCTCATAGACTTAACTTAAACTCATAAAACTCGACTTGATTATCAGTCTTAGTTGTCCGCCCTCTGACACGCTNCAAATTTTCTTGACAATCATGGAATCAGAACTCCTCAAGAAGCCAGACAGCATCATGTTCAGAATGGTGCTGAGACCAATAGGCCTGCCCTTGCTTCTCCAAAGTGGAACTGTGATTCTTCAGCTGCATCAAGCCCAAGCTCAAGAAGATCTGCAAGGTCACTCCCAAATAAAAGGGACGAAAGGCATCATGTGGCAGCTAGAAAAATTTCTGGCAAGAACAATTTAGAACGTGAGAAGAGTTTGTTGACTACACCAGGGTCAATTTTTATGGATGGTAGTGATGAGAGTTCTGCTGATGAAAATGGGACTGTAAATTCTAGTGCCAGCACCTGCACCCCATCAAATAATTCATCTTCATCAGGCTACTCGGAAGGGGAAACCCAGTCAAGTTGGGACTTACGAAGAAATGGTATGTCCAATATCAGTGTTTAATATTGTCGTTGTGTATTTAATGTGTCTTGTGCTTACTCTCTGATGAATTGCCCTCTTACTTTAAAAGATAAATAATTGAGGTAACTCCTTAGCAAGTGCTTTCATCATTTGTTCCATTTTAGTGCCTGGTCAATATAATACATGATTGACTGTACTTTTACAATATGAGCGTGGCCATTAATACATTTTCTTTAGTAAACCATTCTTCTCAGTCANGAAGAGCTCCGTTGTTACTGACTTTAATTCTAATCTTTTGCAGGTACGGAAATATGTGAACCTGATGCTAGCAATGTAGAAGGCAAAAGTGATGCAAATGAACAAGTTGCTGGATTAGGAGTGAAAGGAACAAATCCAATGAAGCACCGTGACAATGATGCGAAAGAATTTCTTCCACTTGTCGTCGAAGAGGCTCATAACACAAACAAAGGCATTAATCACTCTGCACAGAAAACTTGTGTCCCTGATGTACAAAAGTTTGAAATCGGTCAGACCGAAAAAATTGAGGAGGACAGGGAGTTGTCACAGAACCATGTTCCTGAAGCAATGGTGTCTAAAAGGTGCCAACCTTTGCATCAGGATGAATCTGATCTGAATATTAAACAACCAGTGCTTTCAGCTAAGTTGTCCAATGCCAATGGGATCATGGGATCAGGAAATTCTGGTGGCAAGGGGAGGATAAAAAAGAGGGCCAAGAAGTCTGCTGGAAGGAATCAGAATCCATCAGGCATGGAGAGTGCAGATAATACTGCAGTTGAAAATTCTTCAGTTGCGCATTGTTCAGCTTTTGATGATCATTTGAGCTATGAAAATAAAAAAGACGAGAGCACCTTGTCTCACAATGAAAGAAACGAAGCCGCAATACAAGAGTCAGTGGATACTTCTCCAGTAAATGCTAATTGGGAAGGTAATAATGTGAGAAAAAATGACGCAGAACTTCCACCATTAACTCAGGTGGACAGAACTCGAGAAAATGGAGTACATATGGGTGAGAAATCAATGAAGAAAGTGAAAAAGAGTCAAAGCTCAACCATGAAGAGCCTACCAGATCTGCCAATTGAAGAACTACAAAATGAGGAGGAAAGTTTGCAGTTGAATCAAACTGGAAAAACTCAACAGATGTCAGAAAATGTGGGTAGGAGATCGGAAAAGAAAATGAAAAAGGAGCAGAATTCTGCTGCAAAGACCCATTCATATTTGCCAATCAAAAAGCAAGAAGGTGGTGTTGGAGAACCAGCTGCTTCAAATGATAAAAGGGGAAAGGTTGACACTCCATCTGAAACAGCAAAGAAAACTAGATCAGCAAACGCAAGTCCTAAGAATCCACCGACTGTTTCAGAGTTGGAACACGCCACTAGCATTGAGTCTGGTTCTTTAGATCCTGAACGACCTTCTGGGGATGTTGACATAATCCATGTTTCGTCTTCACATGCACTTGAAGGTAATTATAAGGAGAGGCCTGAAGCTAAGGTCGATTCTGATAATCAGATGGAAATTTTGAAGTGTGAAACAGATAGGATCAACTTCCAGCATTACTTTGTGCCTGGCCAACAGCTGAACGAAGTTGGTCCAGCTGACATGGTCAAAGAAGCAACACGATCAGAAAGGGACATCAAAACTAAGAAAAACTCAAAGAAGGTTGTTGTACCCCCTGTAGGCAGCCAACAGCAGAATGAAATTGCTCCTGCTGACAAGGTCAAGGAAGCAACAAGATCAGAGAGGGAATTCAAAACTAAGAAAAACACCAAAAAGCTTGTTTTACCCCCTGTAGGCACCCCGCCTAGTTTACGGGGATCACTCAAGTCAAATGAAAACCTGGAGAATGAGAAGAAATCTCATATTAGAAATACTAGTAGTATTCCACTACAGATATCATTATCGAAAGATAAGCATAATGAGGTCATGCTTAACCCTAACAAGAAATTNTTCCGCGAATTACTCTTTGTTCAAGTAATGATTGTGTTTCCTAATCGAAGACGAGAAAAAAATTGATGTAACTTGTCTTGTTTTGGGCCTTATTTCGATTACTGATTTTGACGTTAACTCTATTTACCAATTTGATATTCAGTTTCCACCCTTAATCAACTCCTTTGGGCCCATTAAAAATGGAATCTTTCTATTAAGTTCCGTCATCTAATCAAATAAAGTGTAACCAATTTAATATAACACCGTATATATTAGCAATGGGTTGAAGGTCGCATCCTCTTGATCCAGTATTAAAATTTTATTTTGAAACAATTGAAATATTTTTGTTTTTAATAAGATTGAAATGAATCAGCGATAAAATTAAAATTTTAATATTTCAAGGTGTTTTTATAATATTTTGAGGTATTTTGTAACATTTCAATGTATTTGTATAATTGTTTTGAAATATTTTAAGATATTTTGATATATTTTGACTAATATTTTAGAAAAAAAATTATTTATTTTTATTTTTTCATTATGTTTTTGAAATAGGTTAAAATATTTGTGAAATTCGTCAAAACGTTTATGTTCTCTAAGTGATCAAAATAATACACCAAAAATAAATTTTTGATCCTCGCTGATGATTAATCATTAGGATCATCCTCACGCCATAACCACTATGGTAGGTGGACCGCTCAATGCGCATGCAAGATTGTGTGTGAGAGAGAGAGAGTTCTGCATGAAAAGCGAAGAGGGATGTGTTAGAGGTGCTAATGGAATTGAATGATTCTCTGTCAAATTCCCAAGAAATGAGTTTTTAAAAATTAAAAATCTAACTGATTCAAATATTAGTGGAATTAAAACAAAAATGATTTATATATATAGTGAGATTATAGGTGTTTTTTGCAAACATTAAAATTAAAAAAAAAATTAATATTGTTGGCTTGGCTTGGATAAGCTCTAAAATTTCATCCCAATTTCCTTGAATTTTTTATTTTTAAAATTTAAAATTTTGATTTGTCTTTATACCACTGAACCTAATTAATAAGATAATAATTCCAAAAATTTCTCAATTGTCCCAAGTTTTTCTCCCATTATGTCTCCCTTTCTGGTATCTCTCTCACACAATATCTCTCCTCTAAATTTAATTTTTAATTATTTAATAACAATTACTCCCACAAAATTATTTTATTTTATCCTCTTTAATTTATCAAAGTAATGAATAATCTTTCAACAATACTAGGGTGGGATGAGAGTAGAAAATATACGGGATGCCGCTAGTTCTTTATCTAACCAAATGTGATAAAAAAAAAATACTATTTGAAACTTAATTAATTAGAATTATTGAATTAAAAGTGGATTTTATGTATATTAGAATTCACAATTAATTCAACTATTATATTAAACTTGTATCTGAAAACACGATACAACGTGAATGATTTTGAGAAGAATGTTAGTGACCGTCAGATAAATTTATTTAAGACTGTCGCCTTTTCTTTAGATCTCTAATTAGATATTGAGATTAAGTCTAAGTAAATAATCATGTATTCAACAAATATTCAATAAAAGTTTATAAATTAAAATGTGTACACTTCACTATGACCATCATCGTAAAAAAAAATGAAAACAAAACCAATCAAGATCGTAAAGTCACCCGTTTCCTGAAAACCACTTCAGTATCCANAGAATCACTTATAATTTAAATCCCTTCCATTGCTATAACTGCTTCTGAGAACTATCTTTCTCTACCACAGTTACTCTTCCCCCAGCTTTATGTAAAGATCTCCTAACTAAAGAAAACCACCAGTAAATACTAAGGCGTATGGGAGTTAAACTTGTATGATTGATTCTATGTAACACACGCACACACATCACATGAGCCTACTTTTATAAAACTTACTAGTTTTGTGATCAAATGAGATTTCTTACTAGCGAGACAAAATGGCGAGTCCTTTTGTCATCATTTGGAAAAAGATAAGAAACAAAATTGATAAATCCATATGCTGTTGGAAACTGTGAGTCCCCGTAAAGCTTCTCATGTTTTACTGATATTAAACGAATGAAAATTATGGCATTTAATATACTCCACATATTTGTTTTCTTGTGTCTGATCAAAAATGTTTTGGCAGAAATTTTTATTCGAAAAACAAATTGTTTAGGCATAATATAAGCACTGAACACCATTTCTCTGCATATCTGAACTTCCAAACTATTGTTACACTGGTATCTCTGACCACCTCAATTGGTTCATGGAGCAGATCTTCAGGGCCGAAGAATATAACCATGGATATGATCCTTCGAAGTTCGAGTAGATTCAAGAAGGCCAAGCTCACAGCATCCCAATCACAAATGGAAGATACTGAAAGCCAGCCAGTCGATGTTGTTCCAGACAGTCAAGGAATCATCCTCTGATCAAATATAGATTTGTCTTGCTTGGGTAGTGATGTATTATCCTCCTTCCCTTGAGAAATTCTCTCTTTTGACCTCAGGCCTTTTGAATTGCTTTTGCGCATGTTTGGTATGTAGGCTTAGAAGAGATTTAAAGGATGGGTTTTGTAAAAATAGTTTAATGCACGTTTTAAACCGATGTTTCGTTCAAAATTTGAGGCTGGTAAAAGAATTCTGGCCCGCTATTGGCCCATAGTAAATAGTTGATTAAAACCCACAAATGGGGGTTTGATGAAACCCATGGCGGGGTGAGTTTCAAATGTGAGATTGGATTTGTTGACAAAAAGATTATTTTATTTAAAAATTTATTATTTTATTCACCCAATAATAGATATTTTAATAAATTGAGGAATATGATTTGACATGAATTAATGAGTTTTACATGTATTTATGTCTCTTACTAAATATGAGATTGGTAGGGTTTTTTATCAAATCCCATGTGCATCCGTGGGACTAGGNTTTTTTTTTTTATAAGAATTAGAGTTCTAGATAATTACGCTATACAAGTCCCTTGGTGCAAAGGTCTTTTTCTTTTCATTTTCGTTTTGCATTCAATAATTTCGTGTGGTTGAAGAGATCCAAGAAAAAACAATCATTAATTTGGATTTTTCATATTGCTTGGCAAAAAATTATGACAAAGATGTAATAAGATTCACTAATTTTTATAACATTCTTATAATTGGATAAATGATTATTTTATTTCCAGCAACACAATGACAATAAAAAGAACAAAAAAATTTAATTACATACCTATCTACATCTATACCTATACCTATATTTTACTTATAAATGTCAAGATGTGCGAAAATTTTTTAATTTTTAATTTTTAATTTTATCCCTAATTATTATGATAAAGTCAATTATATCCACTTATATACTTTTATTTAATTTTTATTTTTTTACTCATATTTCACTTTGAACTTACTTTGAACTTTTTTATAAGGATTTCTAAATTTTTTTGAACTCATTTATTAATAGTACTGTTATATACAATTTTATATATCTATATAAAGTAAAATTCTTATATATGTTAAATTATTATACACAAGGAGTTATCAGATTGAATTCTACTCTCAAATATATGATATTTTTATTTTTTGATATGAAATAATATAATAATAATATAAGCGATTTAATCAATCTATTTAATACAACAAAAAAAGATTCATAAATAAATGGCATATTAAGTACTCAAAGCCTTATAGAATAAAGTAATAATTAAAATAGAGATCAATTATACCTAATTTATTATTTAATTTAATTACACATATAATTCACGCTTATAAAAAAATATTATTTAAATTTATTTACGTGTAACGCACGTCATACATTACTAATTTAGCCTAAATGTGTTTTTTTTTGGATTTCAATTTATTTTTTTTTTGTATTTCATGCAATTATTTACTTTTTTAGGTTCCCAATTTTTCCAATTTCTTTTTAATTTTTTTTTTCATATGGTGAAAAGGTCTTTTAAGATAAGACTCTTGTGTATGTTGCGTTCTATCATAAAGATAATTGATAGACAATTTCAATATTAATTCAAAATAGTTGATTTAAAAATTTGAACACGCAATGTGCCAATTGAATTGTCTCTATAAAAAATGAAGTTATCCTTGATTTATTTAGTGAAAATTAATTCGAAATGAAATGTAAGGAAATCACAAATACTTCCATGGAGAATTTTGAATCCGAGGTGAAATGCATGATTTACTGACGATTCATGGGACGGACGTTCATAGTCCCTTCCATTGCAAACAACTGAGGTAGACACTGAAGCTGAGAAGAGTATTAAAGTAGAATATTCAGGAAGTCAAAATATAATTTTTAGACTGGAAAAGAAAAAGTATTTTCATACAACCTTTATCATCTGTTTGGTACAAAAGATAAAAAGAAGGAAGGAAGGAAAGGAAAATGGAAAGAATAAAGGTTTTTATCCTTGAAAGAAAAAAAGTTATTTTTCTTCTTTTTTATTTGGTAGAAGAGATAAAAAGTAAGAAGAATATATTTTCTATTGTTTAGTATTAGATGAAAAATGAAAGGAAAGAAAATATATATATACCCAATTTACAATTCTACTATTAGATATGTTTTTTTCACTCCAATAAGTAAATAGTAAAAAATTTAACTTAAAAAATTATTGCATTGCCTTCACTTTTTTTCTCTAATTTTTGCCCAAATTTGAGTTAAAAATATTTGGTGGACTAGAAAGATAGAGATTCTCGCTCACTTTCCACTCTATCATACTTTTCATTGGTACTAAACAATGAAAATCATTTTTTTCCCTTCATTTTCCCTCCCTCACTTTTCTTTCACCCATTTTTTTACCATATCAAACACACTATTAGAGAGAGAGAGAGA